ACTACCGTATCAGCTTCTACTGTTTATTTTTTGCACGCATTTTCCAAAGGATCTTTCAATTTTTTCCGGGCCGATCAGAACTTCTTTCGCAACTGAAGCAAATCTACTTAACAGAAAGATTTTGACTATTAACTCCAAAGAAAAAAGACTTGCAGCCAAATGAGGTCAATGCCACGTGTTCACTGCTGTTTGAACAGAGGCTTATACTTTTTAGAGAACAGAAGCCTTTCTACACGTAATCGATTCCTGCTATCGTAGTCCAAATGTTTCAGGTTTGACGCCACAGATTTTGCACGCCATCGATCTAAGCCGCAAGAGCTGCCAAGTTCGTAGATTCAGAACACAGTAATAAATCTTACATTCCCGTTTCATTCAGGAATGACCTGATATATGCAGAGACTTAATTTAAAATAGGAGCTAGTCAATCGGTGGCACGTCGGACTCAGAACCGACGTTTCGAGTTCAAGAGCCACCGGTCATTACCCCTTTTTTTCTCTCTGAGGTCGATGAATGAGCACGACTCCCTGGGAGACTACTCACTGTGCTTGTCACAAAGCGGCTGTCGACTCTTTCCTTAAAAGCAAGGCACTCATAGAAATCGGGGATCCACTATTAACTTCGCGAAAAGAAAGGCACCAGAACTGGCCGAATCATGGAACTGCAAAAAATACCGACAATCCAACAGTTACAAACAATCCTTTACTTCCTTTTCACCGACTAATATGGATTCCGATGAACGACTCTATTCCAAACGTCGACGAGGGAATTATGCTTTCGAACTCATACGTGGCTGTTATCTAACGCTGACAAAAACCAATTCCCAGATTCTGCTAAACTTCCACCTACCAAAACTACACACATGGTGTGAAAAACAATGAGTATCCTTAGAGGCCAGCACAAACTGATTCCTTACCGCAGAAGAGGTGAAAGAGAGCCTCGTAGCATACGCTGTTCTTGCAACATGTAGACCATAAGCTATTTAAATAATAATAAATAATATTTAAATAAGGCTAACCTGCGATGCTATCAAAAGATCCAAATCTGGCGTGGCAGGCTGGTGGTTGTTCAAAAACTCCATCAAGAATGTTCTACTTGGAAAGACGGAAAGATCAATCTGGGCCCACTTCTTCCGCATAATCGTATTACCGGTGATGCCGTATGGAGGCAAAAAACGGTCGCTCGAGCAAGAGGAGCGCCGTTAAAGAGTGATAGAGAGAAGAATGTTAGGAATTTCTCTCCTC